TAAGACTCGCGTCTTCAGTGCCAGAGTTCCTGAGCCAACATGACTAGAGGAGGAATTCTGGGAGTTGAAGTCCACAAGTCTTAAAGCTGTCAAGTTTGAACACCCCTGGGATTTTTTTTCTAAAGGGTTAGGGGTACAAGGATCTTATAACTTGACAGCTTTAAGACTTGCGTGCTTCAAATGCCAGCGTTTCTGAGCCAACATTTTGGTTGCTAAGCAAGAGCGTTGTTAAGTGAGTTTCGCCACATTTTACAATTTGGTCACACCCACCCAGTCAGATGGCTGGCAAGCCACTCCCACCCAGCCACATGGTCGCAAGCCACTCCCACCCAGTCACATGGTCAGCAAGCCACTCCCACAAAGCAGGCCACACCTACAGAAGAGGTTGTAAAAATTTTGAAACCCACCACTGCCCTGCACCTGCAGTTGCATGAATGGGAAGCATCTCTAGTTGGGACAGTGCTTGATTGGACCATGTGATGGACATGTGGGTGCTGGGCAGGGACTTGAACTTTTGTTTGGGTGGGAAGAACCTGGAAACTTTCAAATTTGGATTTTCCCAGATGTGCCAATATGACGTCTCTAATAAAATGGAACTTTGAGGAATCTCAAGCCTCGGAGTCTTCTTTTGTTAGGGATCTCACTTGGAACCCTGACACTGGATTTAACTTCTAGTCACACATGATTAGTTGCAGGCATAAACAAAAATCCTGGCCACATATGTGAAATATTTACATTTGTGGGCAATATCAGCATCTGTTGTTCACTCACGCTAACATATTAGGCACTTACCATGGCCTTCCACTTTATTCCCCTTTCGAGGAGAATGGAATATCCTTGCACTGAGATTATAACTTTTCTTGTAGATGTGCGCCACTGTTCAAGTTTCTCATTCTCCACCAACACTGAGAATTGCACTAATCTGGGATCCTTGCTGCACACTTTGGCTAGGACGTAAGTGCAAGAGCCATGGAAATCAAAAGTTCGCCCATCGAAGGAAATGTGATGAGGGTCACCGGTAGCTGTGGTCATTCCATATCCCAGAGGATAGCAACCTTGGATCCCGTTTTCCAACCTGCACACCTCATAAGCACCGCAAGGTAATGGGTGGCATTCAATTGCTCCATTGTCCGTACAGTGACACTTCTCCTCACAAGAGGTGGTAGGGTAGAACTCCTCTTCCTTCTTGTAGTATCTGCCCTCGTGCGTACAGCCACATTCCTCAAGGGGAATGCATTGATCTCCACTCAGAATGAATCCAGGGTCACAGAAACATCCTTCTATGCAGGGACCTTCACAGGTTTTTGGAGCCAAGGGACTCTGACAAGTGGCAGGGCAGCCATTTCCACAGGGTTCATAGTGGGAATTCTGCGGGCAGGGAAGGCCTGCAAAAGAAAGAATGGGGAAGAAAAACACTAGATCTTTCTTCTAACGGGGGTAGAACTCACTCTTCCTTCTAACAAGACTAGAAGTCATGGTCTCCCAGTGCAGGGGTCTCCAACCTTGGCAACTTTTAAGACTTGTGGACTTCAACTTCCAGCAAGCTGGCTGAAGAACACTGGAAATTGAAGTCCAGAAGTCTTAAAGTTGCCAAGGTTGGAGATCCCTGTCCCAGTGGTTAGGCCACCAGAGTAGAAACCGGGAGGGTGTGAATTCTAGTCCTGCCTTGGGCATGAAAGCCAGCTGGGTGCCCTTGAGCTAGTCACTCCCACTCAACTTAATCCACCTCACAGGGTTTTGTTGTGGGGGAAAACACAAGGAGAAAGGTTTGTTGGATAAGTTCACCACCTTGGGTTATTTGTAAAAATAATAAAGGCAGGATATAGATGAATAACTAAACGTTCCTTTGTGAGGGAACAATCACCAGAGAAGAGGGGTGGGCCAGAGGGGTATCTGCAGTGGCATCACATGTAACATGATGTCACCTATGGCAGTGATGGTAACTTTTCGGCACCAAGTACCGAAAAGAGAGCATGCACACTTGCCGGAGCCACAACCCAGAAGAGGAGTTATCCAGCGGGCATGAGCATGCTAGAAAATGAACTTCCAGTTTCTGGCATGCACATGAGCATACATGCTAGTCTTCTAGTTACTGGTGCGCATGTATGCATGACAAGCAGCTGGCTGGTGCGCATGCTCACACTGGAAAATGGAAGACCAGCTCTTCCAGTTTCCGGCACTTCTGCAGGCATGAAGGGCAGCTGATCATTGCTTGCGCAGGTGCATCAGAAACCCAGAAGAGGAACAAGCGATGCCGCATGTGCCAGGCGACATGGCTCCATGTACCACTTTGGGCACACATGCCATAGGTTCACCATCACAGTCCTATGGTGTAATTTGCATAAATTACACCCTTGTGAGTCTATCAAATGGCAACATATATTTTTTTCTGTGCCATCAAAATTGGCTCACCACCAAGCTTGAAAGTCTATGCAAATCTGTTATAGCCGAGCAGGAGCCATTGGAGCTGTCGATGGACTCCGATAGCGAGGATCTCTATGAGTCTTCTATGGAAGATGTGGAGGACCCTGGGCAGGGTTCAGACTCAGAGCAGGAACCAGAGAGGCTGGTTGGTCACTAGGAGGCGCCTGAGGCATGGAGCAGTGGGGAAGATCAAAGGGAGTTTGTCCCTGATGCCAGGCAA